ACATTTCAATGTATTCCTCTAACTTATGGATATTATGAACATTTCAATGTATTCCTCTAACTTATGGATATTATGAACATTTCAATGTATTCCTCTAACTTATGGATATTATGAACATTTCAATGTATTCCTCTTTGTAGTGGTTCTGCTTCTTCCGAGGAACTTTCTATATTTCTTTTTGCCAAACATTTCTAGGTGAGTACCTGGACACTAAAACACTGAACCACTTGTTCAATGTACCTGGACACTAAAACACTGAACCACTTGTTCAATGTACCTGGACACTAAAACACTGAACCACTTGTTCAATTACATTTTTTCATTTCAATTGCAAAACAAGAAACCGATAGTTCAAGTAGTTTCGAAATGTAAACCTTCCCATCTGCACAGTTGAATTATAAAACAAGAAACCGGTGACGTAAGTGGTTTCGAAATGTAAACCTTCCCATTTATACAGTGGAATTATAAAACACTATTATTGCACTATTCAACTATACTATGGTGTTTAAGATAATTTATTACTTTACACTTTAAACTAATTTGATTTTAAATTTAGACATTTGTATTGTTCTTTAGCCGGTGGGAGGTTTCACGTGGCGTTGTTAGCATTTCGTTGTGACTAGAACCTTCCTGAAAGTTTATGAAACAAGATTAACGGCATAATGGGCTAATTAGGCTAGAGAAGAGGATGAACGGTTATTCGATTTGTTTGTTATCGTCAACCAGTTAGTCTGCCAGTTGTTGTTTTTTTTTATGTTGGGTTTGCGTTTTGACGAAACATTTAAAATACTGAATTTATGCCTATACGAAAACATTAGTTAAGCTAACTTGTAGAACTTGTAGTCGAATGAATAAACTGCTTTCGTTGGCATTAAGTAGGCCACTCAACAAACTATCATAAATCATGATTTTTTTTCCTTCAATAGATTTTCAAAGATTAATCAACGTGTTTACCACCCTTTTAAATTGTTTTTTTTTTAAATAATCTACGCGATATTTTAATGGAAATTTTATTGATCGAGTATATCGTTGACTTTATTTAAGTGATGTACTTTGTATTTATTATAAATCTAAGTTATAAATCGTAAAGTACGTTTTTTAAACAGCAAAGTCTGTTATTTAATAACAGATAATAATAATATAATAATAATAGCAGGTAAATATGTCGAAGCCTTCATAAAAATACTTTAATAATTGGTTATTTGTTTGAATTCCGCGCAAAGCTACACGAGGACTATCTGCGCTAGCCGTCCCTAATTTAGCAATGTAAGACTAGAGATAGTCATTACCACCCACCGCCAACTCTTGGGCTAATATTTTACCACCGAATAGTGGGATTGATCGTCACAATATAACGCCCCCACGGCTGAAAGGGCGAGCATGTTTGGTGGGACAGGGATTCGAACCCGCAACCCACAGATTGCGAGTCGAACCATGCCGGGCCTACTTTAATAAACTACTAACACTTAATCTTTATTCAGTATTGGCATTAGCACAACCCCAAGCAGCAGAAGTTTCAGATCATATAGTCCACTAATTGGTCATGCGCTAGAAGGGGGTTTAGGGGACTTGTCCCTCCAAAATAACTGTTATAAAATTAAAGCTCAAATTAAATGAATAACTGTTGTTTTAAGAAAATAAACATTACTTATTTCATTGCTACCTTTTTTTTTTTTACAAGGAAGGAAAAAATAATTAATTCATCTTAATTCTTCAACTGACCACGCCCGGCATGGCCAGGTGGTTAGGGCTCTCGACTCGCAATCTGAGGGTCGTGGGTTCGAATCCCCGTCCCACCAAACATGCTCGCCCTTTCAACCGTGGGGGCGTTATAATGTGACGGTCAATCCCACTATTCGTTGGTAAAAGAGAGCCCAAGAGTTGGCGGTGGGTTGTGATGACTATATCTAGTCTTACATTGCTAAATTAGGGACGGCTAGCGCAAATAGCCCTCGTGTAGTTTTGCAAAAAAATTCAAAACAAATACTGCTCGAAAATAGCATGTCAATGTAAATGGATTACATACTGGTCTAGAACATAATCAACATGCTAGATGACTTGAAAGTGTCTCCCTCTAGGCGGTACAACACTTTTTTGCTGATAGTACTATAACACCAGTAGATCTTCGCGTTTATATACTAATTGTTATTATATTACGAGAGACGGTTTGAAAATTAACAAAATTAAAACATACTCGTAATTCGTTTAATCCGAAATAACGCAAAATATTAATCCTCAAATGTCTTAAACTGATGAAAAAAACATTACATCCTATTTGTATATCCGGTGATTCATGGTTTGCGAACCG